GGGTCAGGTGGTCGTGGGGTCAGGGCGGGCCTGCTTGGGTCAGGGCGGGTACGCTGGGGTTAGGTCGGGTCCGCTTGGGGTCAGGTCGGGCCTGCTTGGGGTCAGGTCGGGCCTGCTTGGGTCAGGTCGGGTATGCTCGGGTTAGGTCGGGTCCACTTGGGGTCAAGTCGGGCCTGCTTGGGTCAGGTCGGGTCTACTCGGGTGAGGACGGGTCCACTCGGGTCAGGACAGGTGCACTCAGGTCAGGTCCGCTCGGGTCAGGACGGGTCTGCTCGGGTCACGTTGAGGTCGATGTTCTTTCACACAGTTTGTGCCAAGAACTGACAGATTCTCTGTAATCTCCACTGCGGCCAACTGGCAGGATCTACCCATAATCCTCCTGTCCTGATTAAATGTGTGCTGATAAGGCGAGCTGCGGCCGGAATAATCGCCGCAATCCCATTGCAGGAAACTAAATCTCTAAATTAGACATATCGCAGCCGCCGCAGAGATGAGGGAATTTTCTACAGCGGCCTTATATAGACAGTTCTCAGGTCATCGTGAAAACAGGAAATACAAAAAAAGAGGCTTATTCATAATCATTCATACAAAATCCTTTCTTTTTTCCGCTCCCATTACAATGTCGTTTGCTAAAATCTCATAGAAGCTTTAACACGGTGATGTCATTTCAAAAGTCATTTTCAATCCTTTTAAATCTGCAGCTTTCATTAATATATCCCTGGTAAGCCTGCCATAAAGGTTATTGTTCAGGCACTTCCTGTTATAGGGTGACCACGCTCTGCCACTGTCTCTCAATTGTGCTCCTGCCGTTATCACCCCGTCACTCGTGCCCCTGGTTGGAGACTACAAGAGGTCGCGTTGACTCGCATTGCTCAGACATGGTCCACCGTTGTCACCATGAGGATGCCGGTCCGGAGCAATGATGTGCAGCTGATGCTGGAGCGAGTGCATGAAAGAGGCTGCAGGAGATCAGCGGTAGGGATCGGGTCGAACGTGAGTTTGATGCAAACCCGGCCTGTTCACGTTTCGGCAAACAAATTGTCCCACATTGGCCAGTTTGCCCGTCCGCATCCCCGGATGCTGAAATGTAAACAAATCATGACCAAATATGGTCAATGACATCACCTGGGATCCCCAGCACCCAATGGGAGTGCAGTGGGATACCATCATTGGGTGGGGGGGTCATCGTGATTGACGAGGCTTTACTGGACCCCATGATTGACATTGGGTTTACATCAGGGGACACTGGGGACTTTTTTTTATTTTGTTGTATTTATTTTTGGAATGTAATTAAAGGAGAACTATGGGGTCAGGGCTTTTCCCCATAGCTCTCCTTAGGGTAACGGGAGGACACAAACTAGCGTCCTCCCGTCACCCTAACCTCAGTATACCGCGAGCTACAGCTCCCTATATACTGAGACGCCGGAGCGGATCCCGACATCAATGTCGAGATCCGCCCAGCTGCGTGAGTGAAGTTTATTTACATTTTAATCTTTCTGAGTAATATAGGGGTACTAATGCACCCCCCTGTACTCAATCCCCTGGGAGGGGGGTGTCCTTAATATAAAGGGGGCTTCCAGATTCCTCCATAAGCCCCCCACCACCAAACACAAACATTCTTTTTGGGGGACAGGATGTTGGGCAGAGGCCCTCGTCCCTCAACATTGGGACAAGGTGCCTTGTAAGTTGGGGAGAAGGAGGGGGCCTTGTGCCCCCCCCCCCCGGCAAGATTCCCCCCCAGAGGCATCACAAGGGGGGTGGCACCATCAGAGTAGGTGACACCAAATTGGCTAACAGTTGTGATGCAGTACATTTATTTTGACTGCTGCAGTCAAAATTCATCGCAATGCTTTCCTATGGGCTTTCTTGTGCTTAATTCACACCATTGCAGTCCGTTCAGATGCAGTCAGAAAAAGTACTGCTTGTCCTATTTGACCTGCATCTAACTGCATCGAAACGCATCAAAACGCAGTGCAACGCAACGGAACGTATAAAAAAAAAACCCAGAATTGATTGTGGCATCATCCAGGGACATGCAGGGGGGGGAAAAACGCATCACACAAAAACAAATAAAATGTTTTATCTTTTGCCCCGTGTGCTCCAAGATGGAGACTCTCATAGTTTAGAGTTAGGACCGCACTATAAGAGGTGCCTTGGCGCGGCTGTGCGGCTTTCACTTTTTCTGCAGAAGACGTGTATCCAAACCTCTGTTTTTAACCTTAGCGGTGAGACAGTTTTTTTTGCATGTTGGCTGGTGAGTGTGCTGGGAAACGTTTTGCAAAAACGCATCACAAACGCGTCAAAACGGATCGCAATGCAACTGGGCAGACGGACGCAGTTGTGATGCAGTTTCTGGTGTGAACTAACCCTAAAAGGACTTCATCGTACCGTTCTGTAACACCCCCTTCTGCGTCTTTTATTAATTACATGTCCCCTATGGCAGTGCCCAGCAGGGACGTCCCGAGGCCGGGTGTCACCCAGAGCGGACACCGGGTGACAACCCACCGCGACGTCATCGTGCATGCGCGTCAGTCTTTGTGATACCTGCCGGCGGCTATCTTACTGATGAGAGCAGAGAGCGGCGCCAGAGAGAGGAGGGGAGGTTCACCCAGCGGGATACGGTATGGCGCTGGGTCCCCTCCTCTCTCCTGCAACTGTGGGGCTCTCGGCCCATGACCGACTTTTCAGAGGGGGCGACACCAAAATGACTGTCAGTCATTTTGGTGTCACCCCTAAACGGTTCCACCCGGGTGCAGGCCGCACCCCCCTTGTGACGCCCCCCCCCCCCTTCAAATACTTTATTGGGGTTCACTGCTAAGTTTGGGGTGCACTGACTTCACGCTTGCTGCTACTTACACTGCGTCGTCCTCGCTCTCCGCACACAGCAGAAGTCTGGCGCGGTCCCTGAGTTCTACGGTGACTAAGGAGTTCTGGTGGCTTCCCTCTGGGGGTTGGATCTCTGCAGAGAGGACACAAAATACGGACAATGGGCCCCGTGTAAAGCTGAACTCCAACAAGATACAAAACACGCACATTACATGTGGCTCTGTGATCATTCATACTGCAGAAAATGTGTTTTTTTCCAAAGTGTAAGCACTTGAATTATGATTGTTTATTAGCCCCGTGTACAGCAGAGCGCAGAAAGAAGGAGGAAAGACGCAGCACAAGAAGCCAGTCAGGTGTACTGCAGTATAAGGAGCATGCTAATAGGGGAAGAGAGCAGAGAGACAGAAAGGTCAGCTCAACAGTGTACTGCTTCTCCTTTCACTGTACTGTTACAGGGTGGGGTGGAGGAGGGGGGAACATGTAATTGAAAGTGGAACTGCAACACTGAGGATGGTGGGAGCCCCTCATAATGGGCACAGCAGATGTACAGACCCGGCTACTCAGCACAGGGATGGTGGGAGCTCCTCATAATGGGCACAGCAGATGTACAGACCCGGCTACTCAGCACAGGGATGGTGGGAGCTCCTCATAATGGGCACAGCGGGTGTACAGACCCGGGAACTCAGCACAGGGATGGTGGGAGCTCCTCATAATGGGCACAGCGGGTGTACAGACCCATGAACTCAGCACAGGGATGGTGGGAGCTCCTCATAATGGGCACAGCAGGTGTACAGACCCGGGAACTCAGCACAGGGATGGTGGGAACCCCTAATAATGGGCAGCGCAGGGGTACAGACCCGGGAACTCAGCACAGGGATGGTGGGGGCTCCTCATAATGGGCACAGCGGGTGTACAGACCCGGGAACTCAGCACAGGGATGGTGGGGGCTCCTCATAATGGGCACAGCGGGTGTACAGACCCGGGAACTCAGCACAGGGATGGTGGGAGCCCCTCATAATGGGCACAGCAGGTCAGAAATCTCCCCAATAGAGTCCCCGAGGGATAGAAGAGAAATCAGTTGCCTCTTACATTGGTGGTCAGTGGGAAGAATGGTCCTTACATTGGAGGTCAGTG